TCTGTGCAGAGGCTGCCAGCATCAGCGGAGTGTTGCCCCGCAAAGTCCTGGGCACTGGAACATGGTCAAATCTTCGTCCGATGCAGTTCCCCTTCAGATTGTGAGCTCGCAGCCTTGGGCGTTTCTGCGCTTGATTCTCAGATCTGGATCATGCCTTCTTTTTGAGGCTACCTTGTTTTTTCTCCTTCAAAAGGGAAGCTAAAAAGGGAAACCCCACTGTTTAGGGGGGCTCCAACGGTCCAACAAAAATATAACATTGTTTATTTACTGTAATTCATTTGATTAAAACAAAAAAAAAACAGCCGGCGTCGTTTCCGGCCCTTCCCTCGGCTCCTGCAGTTCACATCTGCCCGCGCCAACAGCGCCGCCGCGAGCGCGGGACCGTCACAGAGCCGCGCGGCGGTCAAAAGCTCCGCCGCGGGGCCTCGAGAACTCGGTGGGGGGGGGGGGGGGGTGAGGGGGATGGGGGGGGTGAGGGGCGATGGGGGATTGCGATGGGGGATTGGGGGGGGGGGATGGGGGGGGGGGATTGGCTTGTGAAAATGGTACCAAGAGGAAAACCGCCCAATTCCTTGCGGGTCTCTTGGGGAAAAAAGGGCACCCAAATTCTTGCCACAACTTCTTGCCACGTGGCCAAACTGCTTCCTGGGGTCAGTAAGGATTCTTACCAGGTAGATGACAATCACTGCCACCCCAGGTACGGGAACCGGTTCTTTGACCATACCACATGGCTAGAGTGCGAGAGTTGGACCCTCATGTCCACCGCAAATGGTCCATGTCATACTGGAATAGTTTCGTCGGGGTGCCTGCCTGTTTCACTAACCCAGGAAGCAAGTGGCATGAACAAGTTCTCTTCCGCATTAGTTGCACCCAGGTCTGCGCGCCTGGCTCAGCCGGTGCCTCAATCTCGCGGTTCCTTCGCGCCAGGGGAGGCGGCTTCGCGTGCGCACATGCAGGCGCGGGCAAGGGGGCAAACTGGAAGGTAGAAACCTGCAAGGCCCACTTAGAGCCGGAGCAGAAAGGCCCCTTAAGCCACATGCAAACAAGCTCGTTAAGACAAGCGCAGCCATCAAGCAACAATAAGAGTATGAGCATGGACCAGGATTCACAACGCCTCCCTAAAACGTTGCAGAAGGCCCGAACGAGGGTTTCTCAAAAGGGAAACCAAGCAGGCACCAACCATTTTGGGGACCACTATTTTGAGAAGCCTCTTAACAGACCTTTGAGAATAAATAGCCAGAGAGCAAAGCCCCTCCCCTCAAGCGGACTCCGTCCATGGCAACCGCGGGCTGGCTGCGGGGCTGCCACCTTGGATCCAAAGCAACTGCGCGTCCTGATGGCGGTCCGTCCGCCTCTCGGTTTCCACTTCAACAATGCCGTCCAAGAAAAAAAAACCTCGCAACAAGCATCTCAGAGACCCACGAAGGTCCGGAAAATGATGTTTACGTTTCCGTGGGCAACATGCAGAACGTGAGAAATCGTCCCAGTCACCTTGGTGCAAGGTGTGCTGGAAGTTCCTGGCACACGAGAAAGTCAGCACAACATGGGGATTGCAATGAGGCATATCACCTCACAAATGCTTCTACTGCTGTCAGTCTTTATAAGGTGCGATTGAAAAGCACTTCTCATACTTGATGGCAAATTCCAGTCTCCCGAACAGGAATAACATCAAGTCACATCAAGTCACATCAAGTTATTGAGAAGAAAAAGGCCCGCCTGACGTGCTGACCCAGGAAGTTCTCCGGATCCGGCGAGACGCCGTGCGCTTTGGCGCGGTTCACCCGCGGACCTGTGGTTGGCAGCAGTGGAAAGGGTGCGTCACCAGGCCCGAAAACAACGGGGCTGGATTGGGGCTGGAAAATGGGAGAGTGCAAGCTTTTCTAGCCGGCACTTCCCGGTGACCATTTGAGGATTTGGAAGGCAAAGAGTCAAAGCGTGATGGTAGGACTAGCCGCTCCAGTCTGCATATATCCTCCAACGGCATCAACTACAACTGTCTTAAAGCATGGGCCAAAAAATGGGGGGGAAATCAACAACTGATGGCATCTCTTGTCTCTTCTCCCTCAATCATTCGCTTCAAAAGATCGTCGCCAATCCTGATGACTTCTACAAATGTCAACAAGCGTGGCTCCGGTGGCTCCATGAGATGAGAATAGAATGCAAAATGAAAACAAGGACGCAAGTACATCATATTGAGAATGGAACTGGGTATGCATTGCATGAGACGACCAGAACGATCTGAAGCTGCCCAAGTAGCCAGGTCGGTAGATGTTGAAAAAAATATAAAGGTGCTCGACTGATCTAGCTACGATCTGCAAAACTGTTCAAGATCCAGTAAGAATGTCATGGATCGCCGATCTAAGTTTCGTGAACACGCATCAGCTTGCCTGTACTTGCCGAACCCCAGTCTGCGTCTGCAACCCTCCCTGCACGCGTGATGACCATGGCTTCAGGGACACATTGCCTGAAAGTGGCCCAGCAAAAATAATGGGCCTGAAAGCAGCAAAGGCGAAGCACCTTCCAACATTACGCTTAACAGAAAAGAGGAGTTTGACTTCGTGCCGGCAAATCCCTTAGGCGCGCGCCGGGGGCATTGCTGTCCACTGCTTTGGCCTACAACTCGAGCGGAAGTCATGCTGCCGAAAGCTTGAACATCTGTCGACTCACAAACTGTCATGTGGTCTCACATCCACGGCTGTAGCGCTCCTTCGACAGTCTGAGGCTTTCATGGTTGGCACCAAGCGTTTGTGCAAATGCTTTATCACTCTCAGGCCTCAACTCTGCTGCTTGAAAAACTATACGCAGCGTTTGTGGCAGCTCGGCCAGCTCCTGCCTCCACACTGCAAGCTGCAGCGATGAGCGCATTGTCACCTATCTGCAAAGTGCCCGTGGTTGATTCTCAGCCACAGTGCGTGCAGAAAGCCACGGGGAGCCCACTTTGCCCGTGAGAAACGAGGTCCCAGAGCCACAATGACTCTCAAAGCAACGGAAGACATCCCGTTCGGTGCAAAAAAAAATCTTTGCTTTACGCAAGCCAAGGCGCGACAGTAGGCCGAAACGGCGCCCATGAGGCGGGGACGAATGCGCCGTGACTGAACCCGGACTGAACCTGGGACTCCATCTCCATGAGGCTCTCTTGGTTGATTTCTCTGTCTCTGTCAAATGGCTGTGTGTCACAAATACCCAACATGGACGCTGGCAAAACCAACCTTTAACCTGCGTGAGGTTGAACCATTTCAAATGAACACTGGTTCCTTCTTCCCCTGAAGCCACTACATCTGCCCAGCGATGGCAGGACTATCGAGTCGAAGCTGGCAACTAGGTCCACAAAGAGCCTCTTGCCCAGGCTCTTGTCAGCCGATCGAATCCAAAATCAAGTCCACTCGTAAGCTACCGCCTCTGAAGCCATGCGCTGCTCAAGATTGGCACACCCCGCAAACCCCTGGCTTTCCCTTAAGTCCTCCCCGCCGCAAACCCTCGGGGCGCCCGCTTTGGTTCACCTGCGGCCGATCTATCTGCCGCGGCGGGCCTAGGAGTCTGAGCACAGAAACAGCTCCTGCCGCTTTCAGGTCCATGTATCGCTTTTTCCATCCGGCTTGGCAAACTCACCCGCCGCACAGCGCTTACAAAAGCGCTTTTCCCAGTTTGTTGCACCAACACATTCCAAACTCGCAATGTACCTCCGGATCTTCCTTGGCCTTTGGGATGTTTCGTCCATCCTCAAGCCAGGGTCCAGCCTTTGGGATGCTACAGCTTCAGGCCACTCAAATCCTCGAATGAAAGCCAGTCAAAACAGGGGAGCGGCCGGCTTCTGTTCCCATAGACAATGCAGAAAACATCAAAGATCATGCAGCGTGTGTTGGTTGCCATTTGGCCATGGGTCAAAATCCAAATCGTACCCCCAGTGAACATTCGATTCAATCCAACCACTAAAATAGGAAACCTAAAACGGGCGGTGCTCCAAAATAGGTAACCTAAAATGGGCGGTGAATTCACCCACCCCAAAATTTAAGCTGGGATCCCAAAACGGTTTTGACCACAGCTTACATTGGCGAGTGGCTCTCACGATTTGGCTTCGAAGTCTGGTGTCATCGCCTTGGGGCGAGGCGGCCAGGGCAGCAAGCAGCAGCACCTGGAGCGGCCAACAAATGCTCTCCCCGCCCGCTTTCGCTTTTCTTTCTCCGTTTTGTTTATGGAAGGGTCAGGAGTTCAGGCTTTAAGGCATGTGAAGAGAAGAACCAGTGCTCAAAAAAATGGATGCTCCTCAATTTCTGGCTGGAACCCTCCACAGCTTCCCCCAGCTTTTTGGAGTGCTGTGCCTCTGCAGGACTCGCGGTTTCCCCCAACAAAAGGGCCAGTGCTGGCATGCCGACTGCCAATGAAGCATGCCTTGCTGGCCTCGCCATTTGACAAGCCTGTGGATTACAGGGGTCACCTCATCAAGCTGGATGGTCAGACTCGCTTGCTCCCTTGCCAGGTGGATCCTCAGTTTGTGTCTCACATAACAAGCAATACCTCTCAGATCGATGTCGGAGCTCCGAAAACACGCCGGCCAGGCGTGGAAGCAGGTGCTGTGGTAATCCAGGGCCTGCGCCAACTGCGGCAGGTGGCCTCAAACGCGGTTGGGGTGGAGGGGTGCGACGGGTGGGGTGGGGCGTCACCAAGATCCTAGATGGAGCATGCCGATGGTGGTTCTTGCTTTCAAGTGTCTCGATCCGGGCAACTGACGTAGGCCTGATTCCCCGAGACAAAGCATGGGGCGTTGTCGTTTTGCATTGTCCCAAATACATCCGCACATGGCATTAGCCAAAACTCAGCGGGAGCCGAAGCACTTTGGCCTCATGGGCAAGGCCACAGAAAATGTCCAACTGGCCAACTGAATCCGCCCTGGGCAGCGGTATGAAATTTTGTGCATGCTAGGCACAGATTTCTGAGACCACACTCCGGTGCGAATCCATCCTTGGCTGAAACCGCTTCGCACAGCAAAGAGGATCATTCCTTCAGCACAGCGCGCGGCGTCTCTGCGCACCCGCCTGCATTCCGTGAGCAAAGGATGCCAGCCATTGGAACCCCACTGCAAGGCTTTTGGGTCCAAAGCCGCAAGAGTCAACCTTCAACAGGGATCCGGATGCATGAAAAACACCTGAACATTGCAACGGTTTCCCTTTATGCTGGTGGAAAAAGCAACATGTTTCAAATGGTCAAAATGTATCCTTTAAGGAGACCTGTTCAAATTAGATAGCTCCGAAGGCATGAGGCCCCTCCACACTGCTTTCAGGAAACCGAAGGGGACATCCTATGAGAAATCACTGCAATGCCAGCACCCAGTGTCACTCAGCCTGTGCACATGGTGCGCCGCCCGGCGCGCCGTAAGCGCTGGGCGCGCCATAGGCCGCGCTGGGCGCGCCATAGGCCGCGCTGGGCGCGCCATAGGCCGCGCTGGGAGGCGCACCATAGCCAGGATTGGGTGTGCCGTAGCCAGTGCCCTGCGCCCCGTAGGCGGGCGAGGGGGCATAGCCCGTAGGCGCCTAAGGAAACTCTCCAATCAGCGCCCGTCCAAATGCTCAGAGCCCCTCCGTTCCTTGCGAGCTTCCCGCCAAATTTCAAGACCCCCCCGTGGTTTGTGCAAAATCCCCGAGAAAGCGCACCTCGCGCCGGGAGCTTTCACGCTCACTTTGAGGCCAGGACGGGATCGCTGCCCAGGCAATCTGGCAGGTCATTGAGAACTTTCAACTCTGGCGTTGCAGTTTTAAACTGCAACGCGACCAGGGGCCCCAAAGACGCGGTAGCTGCTTGAGCCCTGACACTCTCCCCGTCCAAATGCCAAGTCTCTGAGTTTCTGTTCCTCACAATAGAAACTGCAGCTTTTGACCATACCACTGCCACACCACACGCCACCTTTCGGAAAATGGATGTCCCTGATAAATGGACATAAACCCATCTAACCAGTGGACACCATCTATTTCTAGCCAAGCTAAGCCAGAAAGGGCACTTCTGTCCAGCCACTGGGGAAGACGACTTCACATCCAACTGAGCCCCCACACCGCAAGCATCCCAATCGCAGCATGCCTCGAGCGGGGAAAAGACAACTGCCTCAAGCTTCAACAGCCAACTAATTACACTTCCTCAGGATGCTGATGAAACCGACGCTGCCTATGGACCGCTGGATGAGCTTGTACCATGACACGAGCACCAATTGAAACCTTGCAAACGCCACCTGGAACCCATGTGTTTCATCTGGACTCGCTGGAACAAACACTGCTTGATAAACAAAGATGGCGCAGATGGCAGTTGGCCATTCGCATGCAAAGAAGAAAAAAAAAAGGCACCTGAAACAACTTTTGGCAATCCCTCGAACCCCCGCCGCGCGAAAAATCGCGCAAGGCGCCATCTTCTGCCGCCGCTGCACGCCGGAGGCCGCCGCTGCAGCGGACAGCGCTTGCGGCGAGGCACGCCACACGTCGAAGACCAGGGGGTGCGCCACGGCCTGCGCCGAAGGGGCAGTTGCCGCTTGCGAGTCGTGGACGTTGGGCTTCGCTGCCAGCTTTTTGTGTGTGTGTGTGTGATGGCCAGGATCACGGCAGAAATGAGCCGAGATGGCTTTGCTGGCTTCTTGAGGGGTCGAAACAAATTCCTTTAAAAAAAAATGGTCCTCCCTTCTTGAGCTTCTTGAAAGGAGCAACGCAAGTATGTTCATTCAAAATCAAAACGGAAGGGAGCCCCTGTCGACCTGTCGTGTGAGGAACCACACCACCCGCCTGGTGCGAGTTCACAGCTCGCCTCGAAAACATCGCTGGACTGGTGCAATGAGCGCGGCAAGTGGAGCCCAGAGAATTCGCAGCCACGGTTACCCCAATATGCGAAGCAACAAGGGGCCTGTCGAATGTGGACTTTGCTCAGGTGTGACTCTAAGATTGTAAAAGAGCAACAGCTTGCTTGCGTTGCGCGCGGTGCGAGCCTGCGCATCTCAAGCCAAGTCTCTTTGACTTAGGTTTCAACACATCAGCCCATGACCAACCCCCCAGCCAGGGCATGTACCGCGAAGGAGCTGCGGATCTAGATCTCGCGCCTGATTTCCTCAGAAAGCTGCTGCATGTTCGACACCGGGTGGCCGTTCACCTGCAGGATGTGATCTCCCACCTGACAAAGATCAGGAGAACATGACCAGCAAAGACTCAGGCCAAACGAAGGCATCGCGTGGCATTCGGACCCATAAAAATATCCCGCAAAACAAGGCATCTAGGCAATGTCCAAGTCGGCCGCACGCCACACCTCCTCAGAAATGATGATCGGCACGTGCTCGCTGTTTTTGATACTCCCAGGGATTAAAGTTGGGCTTTCAAACGTGCCATATGTCTAAGTGGTCGAGCGCGCCTGCCAGCCGAACTGCGCAGCCGTGGGGTTGCTGATGGAGGACACCTTCGATGCGACCCACGACGTCGCGCGCAGTCGTCTGGCGATGCAAACAAACTCTCCGCGCGTTCTCTCTCGCGCTTTTCGCGTTTCAGGCGCTCCGTGCTCGTCGCCGCCAAGGCTCCCAGCAGTTCTGGATGATGAGCCCCAGGCGGCCGTCGTCCATCAAGCGCGGCACGGAGATGCGGACATTGCCACCACTGGCCGGCGGCCCCCCAGTCCACGAGGCGTTCGGGACTGAGGAAGGCACCTGCACACGAAGCCAAAGCCACCCGGACTGCAGTTTGTTTTGAGGGTACCCTTTTTGGTTTAGTCTGAAGGGAACCAAAAGGAAATCCACCATATATACATATATGTGTACATATATATATATTATATATATATGTATATGTATATATGTGTATATATATATATATATTTGTCGGGGGAGTGCTGGTCCCTTGGCCAAGACACATCCACTTCTGTTTCCCCAGAGCCTGCAGCAGCGGCTGCGCGGAGGCTTGGGAGCCAAAGGACCCCGGCGCCGAGGCCTCAGCGATGAGCTTCAAGAAGATCGCCGCACTTCTCCCTCGCCACATCCGCGCTTCGGCTTCGGGGCCCCGGGCCCCCGAAGCAGAAGATGGCAGGCCCGTGGGGGGCAGGTTCCGGTGCTCCTCCGGGTGTAGCTCCCAACCTCAGCTCATAAGGCTTGATCTGGCTCCCCCCCAAAAAAAAGCAGCTTGGGGGGGATCTACTTGGGGGGGATCTACTTGTGGACCTTTAGATCACCAGATGGGTTTGAGGTATTCGGGATGATCCCGGTGGTACCGTTTCCCAGAAGAAAAAACAAACAGCTCGGGATCTACTCTTGGTTGACGTTGGAACGGGAGCAAAAATTTGCTTTTTAGCAGTTAAGTGGGGATTTCAACCACTAAACCGCAACAAGCAAAAATGCAAAATGTTTCCCAACAACAACGATCTACTTGCGGACCTATAGATCACCGGATGGGTTTGAGCTATTCCACGGCCCCGGCCCCGGTAATTACCCGGGAGCTCCGACTTGAAACCGGGAAGGGAAGCGAAGCACGGCGGCGGCTGAGCCAGGGGCGGCGACCAATGGACTCCAGGTGGCCGGGACCTTGCGAGGCTCCGAAGCCTCCTGACGTCTTGCGGGTCGACCGAGCCCACGCGATGTCCGATTTCCCCGACCGGTCCTCCGCTCGGAGCGCCCAGCATATCGCCCGCTGGCTTGCTTTGAGGCAGCGGGGAAATGGATGGAGACTCTGGCCTAGTGAGGCCTACTGCTTCTGCATGGGCTGGCAAGTGTGAACGTGAATCAAGTCCCGGCCGCCTGTGAGAAAGCTGAGAGCCATGCACGCCCATGTGGCTGTCTGCTTGAATGACACACTGGCGGTATGGTAAATGAAGCTGTCCTGCGGAGGAATGTGGCAATTGGGCTGAATCCCCTCTTCAAAGCCTCACCTGCATCACAAGGGTCAAAAGCCAAGGATTCTGTATGCTTTCAGCCCGTTGAAGGAACTGCGAGCCGACCCTCAACCCCTGGGCTGCCCCGGCGTTGCATGTCTTCCAGCTGCTTTGGAGACACTCCTCGCAGCACCTCGCGCGCGCCGGGGCAGAGGATGCCCACGTGTGCTGCGGTCATGTTCACCGTTCCCTCAACAAGCGTCCGAATTGTGCCCATTAAATCCTCTGAGCAGGCGCATGAGCATCAGAGCTAATTCAACGAAGCAACCCTGGCAGCCTGTGTCATGTGACTGGGCTGAAGTTGTTTTTCCTTGCCAAGTTTGCATTGCAAAAAGGCGGTGGTTTGCAAAGAAGAAGTCGACCCACGTCCCTGTCAAGGTGGCTAGGTCAAATCAAGCCCTGCAAAATGGTTCAATCGTTCCTTTCAAATGAAACAAAACTCCAACAGCTAAAAGACAAGTTTGCTGTTGGGTAAATTGATGCATCACCCTCTGATTGAAACAACCCCATGCAGCTTCACAGCTTGAGGCCAGGAAAGTGCGGCTACGAAAAGTATAGCTCCCGAAGTTTCAGTCCTGTATGCGAGCACAAAGGTCTTCGAGCAAAGATCTATCATGTCCAAGTGTGCCAAATGATGAAGCAAACACAGCCAACGCATAGCAAGCTCGAGCATAGCAAGCTCGAGCATAGCAAGCTCGAGCATAGCAAGCTCGAGCAACGCAAGCAATTCCAAGCAAATGCAAGCGCAACCGCGGGCAAACACGAGCCAGTGCAAGGCAAAGCAGCAAGCAACGCATTGAAAGCAAAAAAGGCGTTCAAGCAAACGCCAGGTTTAGTGGCAAGCGATTCATCCAATTGCTGAAGCAGCCATTTGGCCATGGGTCAACATCCTGTACCCCCAGTAAACATCCCAATCCCCACCAAAATAGGTTCTCAAATGGGTGGTGCACCTACCCCAAAATGGGATCCCATTGGTTTTGACCCACAGCCATTTGGAGCTTTCAGCGATCCGAATCCCTTCCCAAAAGGCCTGGGCCAGGTCCTTGATACGGCTCTCGCTGAGCCATAGAGAGGCCACCGTCCAGTTGATCAGGTCATCCTCAGACGCCGCCATTCGGCGCGGGGGAATTTGAATTAATGAATCTCCCCTTTGTCCGGAAGACCCCAAGTTGAGGAAAACATGTCCACTAAGAGACTGAGAACAAGCATGTGACGGGAAATTCTGATTGCAGAGTTCCTCCCCTTGAAACAAAGGAGGCCAATGCGACGTCGGGCCTCGCCAACTTCGCAGTGATTCTGAACTGCACCTCCGACGATTCGCTCCGAGCATCCCAAGGTAGCCTCAAGCGATTGGAGATCCTGAGCAGGACGCAAGGAGAAAAATCGCAGACCAGGAAGGCGAGGCTCGTCAGACATGGCTGTGGCTCAAAAAAAGTGGAACCCATTTTTGGGCCCCTTGACCGGAAACAAAGACCAAAACCCGCGTAACCCCAGCCCTTAAATTTCGAGCCACATCCAAATGCAGATCACAGGTAAGCTTTAGTGTGACTTAACAGTGCCTGCTCCTTCTTTCTCTCACGCCTGCACCATGAAACGCAATGTGCTGCAAGCCACAGGCTCCAGACAAATACGCCAAAAGCAACCCAAAGCCAGCATCCTCTAACGAGCACGTCCGCCAACTCACATGGACTGTGACAGACTCTTCTCTCTTTTGGGAGGCCAAGGACAAAGCATTTGGTCTTTCAGGGTACCCCCTTTTTCGTGGCTGTAGACAGAAGACCCCAAAGCAAAACCCACCATTTCGGAAACCCCATTTGGCTCCCCCAACAAGAAGGCCACAGCCACTTGGCTTCCCTTCTAGAACCTGCCAAAAAAAAAAAAAAATGCCCAACCGCCTGACCGCCTGACCGCCTGACCGCCTGACCACCGTTCACCACCTTACCCCTCCACCGCCTGAGGTTCGAAACTCCCGCGACAAGCCGACAAGCGGGCCGAGGCGCAGCAGCGGCACGCAGCCCTTCACCACCACGGCGGGCAGCCGCTGGGTGGAGGGCCAATGCCCGTCCAAGACCGGGCAGAACTTGGCCCCCAGCCCGTGCCGCGCGAAGGCGCCCGGGGCCATGGCCCGGCCCTCGGGACGAAAGGCCGAGGCTCGAGCTGTGCGAAAAAGAAAAACAAACATGCGTGTCTATATATATATATATATATGTATAGATAGATATCAGTTAAACCCTGCGCCCTCCACCCCCCCTCCCCCCCCCAAAAAAAAAAAAAAAACACGACCAGGTTGGCTGTATGTTCAAAACAATGCTGCCCAATGCCTTTAAGTTCAGACCAAGCAAGCCTCTGCAAAATCTGCGAAGTCTGTGCACCCTATATCTTTTGCGGTCTATGTGTTTGCCTTCAATAGACTAGTCATTGTGGTTTAAGGTTCAACCCACAAACATGTTTAAAGACTACCTCAAGCGCGACCCCCTTTCCAGCCGTGTTCTTTCACCTCGCTCGTTTGCCTTGTTCCTTGACACAAGGGCTTGCCGGAAGCGCAAGGCAGCCCTTTCTTTGTTGCGATTTGGAGAAACTCTTTCTTTGGGTTTAAATAGGCGCAAAAGAATATCAGCGTGAAGGCTTGTAGAGCGTGAAGGTTAATAGAATGTGCTGGGATCTGGTCACATTTTTTGTCGCCGACACATTTAAGAGCTCCCAGCCTGACCTGCGTCCTCAAGACTTTGCAAGGGGCAAAGAAGCACCCACACAAGCTTTCCAAAACAAAACAACATGCAAAGCCTGGAAAAATGTTGCACAACAATTCTTGGGCTGCTAGGCCACGCTGATTGACTTAAGTGTCTGATGTCACACGCTGTTGGAGCAAGAGTCGATGCCCACGTGTTTAGAACGCTGCTACCAAGGACACGGTATACAAGCTAGTATCCATTTGCTCATGCTATAGCTATTGGTCTGGTTCAGATTTCACTGCAATATTGAAATGGCAGTATGTGGTAGCACCCTACCATCCTTTGAGCAATAATAAGGGGGTGCGGACGGGTTAAAGCCTCTCTCGGAGAAAGAAGTATAATGTCGTAAGCCGTGATTTGTGAGCATTTCAAAATGTGGTGGATCCTGCCACATGTGCAATACTTAGTAGCTTGCAGGCACCCGTTTCAGGGGCAAAGAACTGTAAATTGCAGACGTTTTGGCCGGTGTACCTTTGCCTGGGGCTTTCCATGTACACATGCAATTTTATACACAACATCCCGCGCACGTGTACAGGTACACGCATGTGTGTGTGTGTGTGTGTGTGTGTGTGTGTGTGTGTGTGTGTGTGTGTGTGTGTGTGTGTGTGTGTGTGTGTGTGTGTGTGTGTGTGTGTGTGTGTGTGTGTGTGTGTGTGTGTGTGTGTGTGTGTGTGTGTGTGTGTGTGTGTGTGTGTGTGTGTGTGTGTGTGTGTGTGTGTGTGTGTGTGTGTGTGTGTGTGTGTGTGTGTGTGTGTGTGTGTTTGTGAGTGTGTTTGTGTGTGTGTGTGTGTGTGTGTGTGTGTGTGTGTGTGTGTGTGTGTGTGTGTGTGTGTGTGTGTGTGTGTGTGTGTGTGTGTGTGTGTGTGTGTGTGTGTGTGTGTGGTTGGGCGT